GCGTTTTGTACTGTTGTTACACAGCACAAAACGCATAACAAGCAATATGTTGTAGTTAAGGAGAGGTAAGGAAAAAAAACTGGCCCCTTTTCAACAATTCGGCTGTATGGAAGTGGAACATGGAACAGCACGCTGGCTGGGAAGAACAAATAACACTGACCCAACCACTCACTCATGCATTGTACTATAGCGGCTAGCAAGTACCAGTACAACAGTAGCGAAACACAGATTTCATTTGGTCTAGCAAACACTGCTGAGGTATTTTACGCCAAAAAAAGTTAAGAGTTATTCATGCGGCAAGGAAGAAAACAGATGGATTGTTTAGTGGCATCTGCATGATGTAGAACGTAAGCAAATAACCGATCAGTGCTCAGCAAATTCATCTTTCCTGATGATTCAGGAATTAAATACCTAGTCAGCATGCTATTCTCATAAACAGCGCTTCTTCATAATTGACATATTATGACTGTTCGTATCACGGGTTAACTTGCTCTCTTCTTCCTCTACACTTACCCTCTGTTTGTTCTGTTTTCGATTTCTCTTTCTTTCGCATATCCGTCTTGCAAATTAATTACATGACTGTTCAGCAGTACATGGCAGATAGGAGGCTGTATTGAAGATATCCGCTCCTATCCATATGCATAGTTCGGTCTGTGTTTGCAGCTAAGGGATGAAACAGAGAGAATGTATCGCGTAAAATGTCTTTTTACACATGACAAAATTGGTACCTGTTTCTGGTTTTATTAGTACAGTTTTTTTTTTTAGCTTATTTTACCTTTTTTTTATCTTTTGAGATATCTGGTTTATTTTTCCCTCTATTTTGCTATTTTAACAAGTCTGCAAGAGGAGGATAACTGTGAGTCTCAGTGGAGTTACTATGAAGTAACGGAAAAAAGGACTTACCTTAGTCTGTATGAAACTGCGGCACATATTCTCCACATCCTCCACCCAACCACTTTCGCGCAATCGCTGCAGCAACAGCTCCCTCATTCGATCACGCTCGCCTGATTCAATGAATCGCCGTTCCAATGCCGCTTTGCTTATTGCCGGAATAGTTGTCATTACACCACTGAAACTATCAATATTTTGAACTGTCCGGAAAGTCACCTGAAACGCGTCAACGGCGCTGTACATCATAAGGAGAGCAGTGGAAAATTAAGTTAGAAATGAGCAAAATGTAGACTTTTTCATGAATATTTGAACCTATATAATGATAATTACGCTTGGTACTTTTGTAAAATAATTGTGCTTAGTACGCTACACCAACGACGGCGTTCCGAATACAAGCGGCAGTTGTTTTACCGATGTACATTATAGAAGCAACATAGCTGCAGTACTTGTATTAAAGGTTGAAGAGAAAATATCAAGAAAACAAAGGAAAGGAGGAAAAGGTAGTACGATGGGAAAGGTGTCTAAGGTGTTGTATGCTGAAGTTTCTATGATTGTGAGGCAATGCCGAGACATGGACTCGTAATAAATCACAAATACAATTAATATGGGCATCATACTTTAACAGTAATTGTATAACATGAAAAAATAAGACGACAGATATTGCATTGGTGATACTAGTAATGATAAATGAAATACAGGAAAAATAAGACAGAATAGTTTTTCGCGTATTTCTTTATAATATCTGATGCACGCACGTTAACAGGCCTCTTATTCCTACAGCTTTCCTGTTCGTCCTTTCTCCTCTCCCCTCCATCTTTCTACAGATTCCCAATTATAACTGTTCCTGCACATGGACATGACAAATACTCAATTTTATCGCAATCGTAAAAACGAGTGCATTTTGCGGATTCCCTCATACTTTCTCTCCAGATTTTATTCACCGTCAAATCTGCGTCCTTCGATGAACGATCGGTTGCCTGAAATTATTCACTTCCTTCCATGTAAAAATTCATAGCAACAATGCACTCGATAAGTCAAGACTTGATTCGGCCCCCTGATGTAACACTGTGGCTTCGGCCGAAATCCTCTTTCCGTTGTATGTAAATAAAACGCAAAAACGTGTTAAGGCTGTAAAGCAACAACCATTCATACTGTTAACGATCTGTCTGTTTCAACTTTAGCCCAAAAAAGCATGGTCGTACCGGGCAAAAATAGTCTGGATCGCATTTGCATAAGATGCAAAAACGCATAAATTAAACAATCAAAAACTCTACAGCCTGAAGAAAATAAACTGAGCATCTTTTTTGAATGGCCACTGGTCATTAATAAAACGCTGAATCTGGAACCAAAGCGCAAACAATAAACAGTGCTATCAGGCGAAATACGTATTTCAGTTTGGGGATAATATTACCCAAAAAAAAAAGGATAAATCCGGTACGTAATCTTGAGCAAACTTTTATCCGTGAAGCACCAAACAATACATAAACATGGCTAAAAGCACGAAATAGTCGAGGACAAAATTTTCTGGAAAAAATATTATTCGATAAACACCTTCTTCGGGGCATAGAATAAGCTCATATGCGGCACTTATTCAAGCTCATCCTAGTTTCTTAAACGAAATCTTGCTTTCAAAAGATGTGAAAACAAAATTATTGTTCTAAAACCATTGCCCCTCATTTACCTCTTCACCCACTTTTGGCTCATCTGCCTGTCTTGCTTTCTATTGAGCTTCATCTCCCACAGATCTCGGCAAATAATTCTATAAACCAGTTCGAAGGTAAAACAATATGAAGGAAAAAAAAACCGGAAGATCAAGAAAATTACCCATAATTCGTAATCAGCAAAAAAAAGAGATCAAGTGCACGGGAAAAAAAACATGAAACAGTAAAAAACAAATTCTGAGCAAGAAAGAATTTATATGCAGCAAACCGCTCTGTGCTAACAATACATCAGGATGGTTCCTTTTTGTCGGTTTCTTGCATTATAAAAGCAGCAACACGTTCCGAAAGCTCTTTTTTCACTTCTTCTGGAAATATTGGTCGAGCAAGCGTTTTCAAATCCCCCAGCACGATTTTACGTGGCATACGAGAAACGTCCTGAAACACATTTTTAAAAAAAAATTGCCTTTATGCCCACATAAATGATTATTATGGCCATTTTTTCACATAGTTTGCCCGTGGGAAAATGACAAATTAGGGAGATTTTGCGCTGAAAACTTCAGACGTCTCGTTTTGCTCATGACATTGTGCTCGTTGCTGAAAACC